TGGATCTTTCACCATTAAATATTCCATTTTCAGGGCTTCGTCAATATGACGACGCAAGAAAATCATTGCCTTTGCACGTTCTTGATTTGTGCATTCATTTTCACTAATTATTGTTTTCGAAAGCCCTATGGATTCGAAGTGCATTTCGACATCCATTACCCACGGCATATAATTATTTCCGGTAATTGCCAGTGGGCGAAATTCAAAATTTGCTATATTAGACATTGTTAAAAGAAACTAAATAGTTACCAGAAATTCCGCAACCTTCCGAGTAATACAACAAAAACAACAACAAAAAAAATACGCTATCTTTATATGCACTTCCTCGGCAAAGCCTCGTGCTGATAACTTGTTATGAAATATATCAAATATAACTATAATAATAATATATAATATATATGTATATATATGTATGTATGAGTGTTTGTATATAATTTAGAGAAAGAGAATGGAAAGAGCCGAGAGAGAGACAACGTGGAAATAAAATTTTTATAAATCATACCCATTAGTACACAAGATTTAGGTCTATTTATAAACCATTTACAAAAACCATTAGTCATCAAATTGGGTGATTCATCAATGCAATTAAACGACACCTATCATTATATATATATGATGTGTTTATACAAAATAATGACACCTATCCTAATAACTAATAAGTCATAACATATATCGATTTATGCAATTATCACACTTACGTTTTTGTGGTTGATCGTAAACTAAAATATTTCACACCGAAAAAAATTATACTTATACTATTTGTTGATTTTCAATCATAGAAAAAATCGTTTAAACAAAATAAGTGTTAGGACTGGGCCCAACTCAACACTGATATGATAGTGTCTGTTTTAGGCTGTGCTCGTACGGATTTGTATTTGAACTTTCTCCAAGAAATAATAAAAAAATTCTTTCCGGATATCTCGATTCACCAAATTTGGCGGCTCCCCCAGGGTCCCTCATCTGAGATTACATAAGCTAAAAGACTACGACGGAAAGACAAGCCAGAATTTCTCGAACGAACCGCACTCCTTCGCACCCGATCAATGAAGACTCAAAGCGAACTCGTTTGGTGAAAAGTTTCCGAATACCATTGGATGTGTTATCTTTATCACAAAAGGCCTTATGGAATTGATGTGGGACTTATAAGGTGTTAGATTTTATTCAAATCTTTCAATGTAGGACTTGAGTTTGCACCATAACAATTATTCCCTCAAACCAAGGACCAACAAATAGGTCTTCGCTACCTACTTTGCACTGTTTATCACAAAGGGACTCACTACCTGACCAACCACAACTGTCAGGGTCGACCCAACGTCAGGAGACTTTCGAAACAAGGTATTTTCACATATCACGAGGGCTTCCTACAACCACAACCAATGTTCAATGCCACCCAGTCCACTCTACTAATGAACCAGGCTCTAATACCACTGTTGAGACTGGGTCAACTCAATGCTAGTATGATATTGTCCGCTTTGAGCTGAGCTCGCACGGATTTGTTTTTGGACTTCCTTCAAAAGGCCTCATACTAGTGAAGTTCATGCGTGACTAGGGATGGGAATAGGCCGGGCCGCCTGTCAGGGGCCTACGGTCTGACCTACATAAGGTCTAGCTTGGCATGATCTATTTACTAAAAATGCCAGGTCAAAAAAATTTTAAAGCCTTTTTAATTAACAGGTCAGCCTACTTAACATTATTATTTTTTTATAAAAATACGTTTTATAATTATATATTAAAAATAACTTTCTATCTAATAATAATATTTATTAAATAATTTTAACTATAAATTTATTATAAAAAATAGAATTTTTTAACTTTTGTATATATTATATAATTGTTTATACTTTATTTATTTTTTATTTCTAACTAAATTTAGAGATAAATAAATAAATAAAAATATTATGTAATTTTTTAAATAGGCTTGTAGGCCAGACCAGACTTCTAAAAAGGCCGGGCTCAGGCTCTTAAAAAAAAATTTCAGACTTACATGTAACACCCCCAGTTAGCTCATACTGGAAATGCTACCGCCACACTGCATCATGAGGCCGTCATCTCCTACTTCGGGCCCCACAATACAGTGTTAAGGCTAAAATTAACCATAAAAGCTCATTATTATATAACAAAATCTGATTTATAAATATTTACAAAACACACCCCTTAACAAAAGGTTTTTCCGGTTTAAAACTTTACATATAATACAATAGACGTAAGTTCACTCACTCAGTCCGTCTTTCTATATCCCGAGACGTCCCCTGTCTCGGATGTGCCATGCATACCTGAAACAAATATTTTCTTAAAAGCAGTCTAGAATTAAATCCATTTTAAGAACTACATGAAATGTGTCATTTTATACCTTTTTAAAATAAAGTTTAATTCTCGTTTATCATAATATACGTGTCATGCCATGCAAATAGTGAAATGATGCAATACAGATATCAAACTCAACAACAATGCACATCCACATATATATATACATCCGCCGAAGTGAACAGCCAGAATAACTCGGCTCCATAATAATAGGGTCACTGCATTTATCTAAGTGAGCAGCCGGAATACCCTCGGCTCCGCAATAACAAGCTCACTAGACCATCATCAATAAATAGCCGAAAAATCCTCGGGTCAAGGAAGGACCTGATAAACCTATAATAATATAACAGTCATCCAGTCACTCCCATATACCCACCATACAACTCCTACAATCAATACATGGATAGCCGAATGTTGTCGCCATTAACCACAAGACGCCCCATAGTCTGTGATAGCGAAGATAGGACCCCCAAACTAGCCCTATCCCGTATAATGTAGCAGAATCCGTGCAACCTGGAATCACCCAAGGGAAACCCGAAAACTCTACTCCTCCTCGCGCGCCCTAACGGGATCACGTTTAGAGTTTGGTATATGATCCTAAACTACCAGTAGACCTCACCAGTGGCCAACCCAATGAGTGGAACAACACCGAACATGAATGATTAGACCAAATACGTCTAAACTACAATGAGTCTAATCCTTGAATGACCGTGCGACTAAGTCACCCAGTTGTGCGACTACTATCGTCCACTATCGCCAAAGTGTTACGGTACATCGGGGTCGAATATCCTAACCCCAGATGATGCCCTCGCCTAACACTACCGCACACAACAACTAGACGATAGATCCATAAAATATATCCGATAAACCGTGCAATATGTGTGCAGTATGTCAAATAAGTGAATTTATTGAAAATGGCTGATGAGACAACTCACATATCCTCATTTTCATAAATTCACCCACTCGATCAAATACATATATCAAATATCATAAACCGTGAAGTCTCCCACATGCATACGCACACATATATATAAATATATACATGCACTGACAAAATGATTCACATAATATCACGTTAACATATTAATTAGAATCGCATGTAACATGCATACCTAATTTCTTAAAATTAGATTTAATTCCCTACTGATTACCTCTTATCGACACTCCCTAGCTTTTGCAATCTCACCCAAATCTCCTCCAACGTACACCTGTCCCATTATTTACTCAAATCAGATGAGCTATATGTTTATTCATACGGGCTACTTGCTTATTCAAAAGCTAATTTGTATAATTAACTTGTTGGGTTTCAAACTTTTATATTTATTAGACTACGATATTCTAGCTATAAAACTCTTATACCTCATAATATTTATATCGCCCAATTATTAAATAAAAATACTTAAATATATGAATAAACAGGCATGTGCAATACACTGCCGTTTTCAATTCGGCTCGGATCGATACGAAATTCTCAGAATATAATGCTAGGACTACGAATAGGCTATTAGCTAAAGAAATTCGTCGATTAAATAGCCAAATAGCCAGTTATGAATTTTTGAAGAATTTCTAATTTAATATCTTCAATATCTAAATTCATATTAAAATTCATAATTAAATTCTAAGTATAACAAAGAATACAATACCGAAGTCAGAATCGAAATCGGACGACTAAATCTTTTTCTTTCTTATTTTCTTATTTTCCTTCTTTCTTCCTCCTCTTTTCTTTCTCCTGCGGACGTCTGCTTTTGCTTTTCTTTTCTTCACAAATGGGTTTGCTTATTTTATATATATATATATATATTATTATATTATTATATATATATATATTATTTTTTATATTTATCTTAATCGATATTTATCTGTTTAACAGTCTTTTCAATCATAATCAATATATAAAATAGGAATAAAATTTATTCCAAAATATTAATTTCTTGATTCCAAAATATTATAAAAATATTTATTTGCTATAATAATATTATTTTATACACTCCAAAATCGGGGTATTACATTACAGGCTAGGCTTAGGCCAAATATTTTTAAAACAGGCCAGGCCTATTTAGCCAAAGCCTGGCATGACCTGACCTATTTCCGACCCTATGCGTGACTTATAGGATGTTAGATTTTCTTCAAATCTTCTAATATAGGACTTGGGTTTGCACTTCAACAATTCTTCCCTCAAACTAAAGACCAACAAATGAGCTCCCCTCCAATGATATTTCATTGATTTGCACACCTTGGGCCGCCTAGCCATATTGCAGATTCCAATCACGAGGTCAATGAGGTCGAAGGCTTCCTACCACCACAATCAACGTCCAATGTCACCCAAACCACTTTACCATCCAATGTTAGGACTGGGTCAACTCAACATTAGTATGATACACTACCAATAAACTTAATTTTTGTAGCAGTTATAATGTCGGTAACTATAGATCTATAATAAAAAGTAGTTTTAGTTATGAAATTTATCGTAACAAAAAAAATTAATTTGGTCAACGTTCTATATTTTATTTGTTTCGATAATTTATTAGTAACAATTACAATTATTACGGAATATCGTCTTGAAAATATATTTGTTACGTGTATTACTCTGTAACAAAAGATAAATAAATGTAATGACCCTAACAATTGATCCGTGACAAATGATATTATTAGTTAACAAATTTACCGTAACAAAAAAAATTTTGTTACAAAAAATTCACCATAACATTTATACTCCTATAAAGTTATATATAATTTTATACTAAAAATAATTATGAAGCAAATACTACGTTAACAAATAATAAAATTAAGGGTAAACTGTTTTTTTAGTCCCGTAACTAAACCCCTTTATCATTTTAGTCCCGTAAATGGAGTATGTCGCAAATTAGTCCCATAAGTGAAAAATTTTCGCTGTTTTAGTCCTCCGGCGCCGAAGATGCCCGCGTGGGACTAGTTTGCGATAGGCTCCATTTACGGGACTAAAATGATAAAGAGGTCAAATTACGGGACAAAAAACAGTTTACCCTTAAATTAATTATTATTAATTTTTAAATAAAGCAAAGTATATTTTAAAAAAATAAAATAAAATAATACATTTTCAATTCAGTTATGAATTAACCCTAAAAATATACATACCGCTGCTCACTCCCTTCTCTCTTCCCCTTCACCCCGTCCCTATCCCCAAATCCGACCGATGTTGTCATCCACCAGCCACATCCACAACGGTCGCCCACAAGTTCTTTCTATTTCTTCTTCTTCTTCTCCATCTCCCATTTAGCCATTCTCTCTTTTTTCTTTTTTCTTTTTTTCCTTCATCTTTCTCCTTCTTCTTCACCCATCTGCTTCCCTGCTTCGGTTATCCATTCTGCTTCTGCACTTCAATGATTATTAATGTGACCGATAAACTATGCGTAGAGTAATCATCGAAACATCGAAGTCTCTGTCCATCGCGCCTGCCGCCGATCTCAACCATTGTCAACCGCCCAGGTTTGCTCCCCCTCTCTTCTCCTTCCCACAATTGATTTCACCTCCTCCGTCCAAATCCCCGAAAGGTGCCGCACAAATCCCCCACCGGCTTCTATTGTTGATGATGGTTTCTTTCTTGTAGATATGTGCACATGAGGGTTCGGAGCTCGAAGCTATCAGGGAATCCTTGAAGACAACAAGAGAATGCCATAATTCTAAGTTAATTGGTAAGGAATTTTTTTGGCATTTTGAAAATTTTAAATATGATTTTATGAATTTCATGAATTAAGACATTTGTTGTTCGATCCAGATTTATTTTAGTTACAATTATATGGTTTATTCATTCGAGCATATATAATTGTATCCATCTTTAATTAAATTTTTTACAACTCTCCATTTTTAGTAACACAAAGTGAGTTTTAGCTTCTTAACTTATTGTATTTTCTAATGCATATATGATTTTCTTTTTGTTAGTAGTGCCATTAACAATTGCATAATTACCCAAAATAGTGCATCTAGTTACATGCACAATTACTCGCATACAAGTATTTATTTATTGAACCTATTTTGAGTCCGTTTTAATCAAATATCTAAATGAGTGGATGATAATGCTTATGTTTTGAGTCTATATAATAAACGTTTTAGATTGAAAAAGTATACAATGTGTTCAGTTGTTCATATTTATACAAAGTTAACAAGTTATTGATAGTGCAAAAATATTTTATATATATACATGGTTGATTGTTTGTGCTTTAAGTATAAAGGTTATTTGTTGATTAAATTTAGTGATAAAGTATCGGAGTAATAAGTGGTTTTTGGATTGTATGTATATATATATATATATGCATATGCTCTTGGTTGTGAGTTTTCTTTGTTAGAATCTGTATGTAGTAACAATACCTTATTGTGTAAAGATAATTTTTTAATTTTTGTGTCCATAAAGTAGAGGGAAAGTGATGCGAGCGCAACCGAAGGATTCGGAAACTCGCAAACCACAGGAAATAAAGAAATAGAAAGATGCGGAATTTGGTGGAAGAAAGAGAGATGAAGCGGATATAGATAAAAGGATACTTTGGTTTCTTGATTCACAAGATTGATCGGATAGGCACCACGTGAGAACTAAGCAACACGCAACACAAAATCTCTAAACCAACAAGGAATAAAGAAGGATAATCTGGATTCTCGATCCACATGGTTGGTCGGATTAGCACCACGTGAGAACTAGGCAGCACGCAACACAAGATCTCTAAACCAATCAAGGAATGGAGTTGACGCAACAAGCGGTCCAGCACCGATTGAGAGGCGACGAACTGTCTCGAATCACTCGAAAACAACCCGATTTTGAAAGATTACCGAGGATTGCATCGCACAATCTCGAATAATCAAGCTAGCAAGAATCACTCTTGAAAGCAAATAAATTTTATAAGAAAATATCATGGTTTAGTGTATTGTTCTTACAATGATGATTATGGGACCTTTTATAGAGGAACCATGTAAAATTAAAATAAGAAAGTACACTATTAAAGGAAATAAAATCACATATGAGATATTTATTATAATCAACCTTATTTAGTATTATTGACCCATAATTCATGGCAATCTCATGATTATTAGTAATCCCTTGATCTGTGGAATTCATCTATTTAGGGGATATTGATTCATGGGATCCCTTCAATTAGGCATAGCAATTTAGGGGAGGTCCAATGCCTTGTAAAATGCTCCTGGCCTTATGGTCCTTGGGACTTGTGGTGCAATTCCGTCATGATGGTCACATCATCTCCTCCCTCTTCAAAAGGTTGTTCCATCAACCGTTCATTTCAAAATATTCTCATGCCAATTTTTTTTTTTTTGTAACTTTTTTTTCTTCTTTGTTTTTTTTTTCTTTCGGATTTTTTTTTCTTTTTTTTTGGATTATTTTTTGCCTTTTTTTTGACTTTTTTTTTTCAAATATGAACCGTGATATCGATCAAGAGATTGTATCAACTAGCTCTGATACCAGATGATGCGAGCGCAACCGAAGGATTCGGAAACTCGCAAACCACAGGAAATAAATAAATAGAAAGATGCGGAATTTGGTGGAAGAAATAGAGATGAAGAGGATATAGATAGAAGGATACTTTGGTTTCTTGATTCACAAGATTGATCGGATAGGCACCACGTGAGAACTAAGCAACACGCAACACAAAATCTCTAAACCAACAAGGAATAAGGAAGGATAATCTGGATTCTCGATCCACATGGTTGATCGGATTAGCACCACGTGAGAACTAGGCAGCACGCAACACAAGATCTCTAAACCAATCAAGGAATGGAGTTGACGCAACAAGCGGTCCAGCACCGATTGAGAGGCGACGAACTGTCTCGAATCACTCGAAAACAACCCGATTTTGAAAGATTACCGAGGATTGCATCGCACAATCTCGAATAATCAAGCTAGCAAGAATCACTCTTGAAAGCAAATAAATTTTATAAGAAAATATCATGGTTTAGTGTATTGTTCTTACAATGATGATTATGGGACCTTTTATAGAGGAACCATGTAAAATTAAAACAAGAAAGTACACTATTAAAGGAAATAAAATCACATATGAGATATTTATTATAATCAACCTTATTTAGTATTATTGACCCATAATTCATGGCAATCTCATGATTATTAGTAATCCCTTGATCTGTGGAATTCATCTATTTAGGGGATATTGATTCATGGGATCCCTTCAATTAGGCATAGCAATTTAGGGGAGGTCCAATGCCTTGTAAAATGCTCCTCGCCTTATGGTCCTTGGGACTTGTGGTGCAATTCCGTCATGATGGTCACATCAGAAAGTTAAAGGGCTGAGTCTTGATTGTGAAAAGTGTCCTGGTGGGGTCGAATATATATGCAAAAACATCAAACAAATCCAATGATTTTTCACATTAAGGGGCTCTTGTCATTTGTCCGTTTGCTTTCTAATGAAATTATATGTTTCTAAGTTCCAACTTAGGAGGGTAAAGTTTGGTTAATTTTAAGAGTAGAAAGCAAATAGCAATATATTTAAGTTATGAAAAACTTCAGTGCAACTTCTTTATGTTAGTAAAAATATTTATTCTAACGTTCAACTTCCTTATGGTTATTGTTGATATATTATGCTTAGGTACACCACGTACTAATATATGTCAAAGCATATGATAAATCAAAGTTGATGGATGATATGGATGAGGATAATGAAACCTTAGTTTTCACAAGAAATAATGCTTCAGCTAAAAGAAGCCAATCTTGTATAAAATACAAAAACAAAGACCAAGATATCTGAATGATCTTCATCATTTAAATATGAAATTAAAGAAGAAGATGATGAGGATCATGTCCTTATGTCACCAAGAATGAAGAAATTTATGTTGTCGTCAGTTCAGAAACCATCATCTGTCTGAAATTAAACAAGAAGACGATGGGGATCATATCCCTATGTCACAAAGAATGAAGAAATTTACGTTGTCGTCAGTTTAGAAAACATCATAGGCAAAAAGCATGTCAAAATCTGTATATCCAATATCGAAGAAAATAAATAAGAAATCAAAGAAATTTATGAAAAATTTCAAGTATTGCTAGTCATCAAAGATTTTGCAAAGTTGTAATGAGGGGCAAAAGTAGACTACTTTCATTCACAATGCAGTGATTTCTCCCCCTTCATAGAAGCCTCGTGGGGTAAAGAGATTCTACAAAGTAAAGCCTATTGACTTAACACCAAAGCGGGGAAGAGGTGATCCTTATCACTCCATATTATATATCCTTTGTTTAGTTGTTTTTGGCTAATATTGATTTCTACAATTCTTAGAAACTTAAACACTTATTTTTATTATTGTGGCAGATGGTCATGGAATATATGCAGTTATGCTTTCTACTAAGTATATTTGCAGTTATGAATGATTGACAAAAAATACTGGGAAAGAATCATGTTATTCAGGACTTGGAACATTGCGATTTCACTCCGAGATATGAATGACATTAGAGAGAAAAGGGAAAAAAGTAGCAGATGCGTTCTGAAGTATATTATAAATGATTTTCGTAAAATTTGGATTCTATAAATTCTTCTTATACAGAAGTTTGTTTTGTATTGTACAATCCTTCACATCGTGAGAATTCTTGTACAATCATTATTATACAATGTCCTTGTTGTTATCGGATTTTTAGCTACCATGGCCTCTTGAACGGAAACGTCAAACATGTAAGCCCATCGTGCTTTCAACTTCGCCGGCTGTAAATTTTCAGCATTTAATTAATTTCTGCATCTTGCTGACTTGCAATTGCTGGAATTCGATTTAGTGTGGGTGATCCTAATTTAGCAGAAAAATTTGATCGATTTCTTTTGGAGTCGTATTTTGCTTCCGACCATTGAGAAGAATGGTGGTTGCAACCTAGTGAGTTGCATATGTGGGCAAGCATTTTGATAAAACACTCTTTGTTAGCACATTCTTCCTAGTGAGTTGCATATGTGGGCAAGCATTTTGATAAAACACTCTTTGTTAGCACATTCTTTCTCATATAGGAAACTTGGTGCATTGATTTTATAATGATGTTTTCACAAATTAATGTCTAGATGTATGATATGAGATTCAGCTTACATAATCCAATTATCGCCTTTTCATCTTTTGATTTGTTTTATAATCCACTCTAGCAATTGTTATATGCTTATTTAAGATATCGTCCGAACAACAATTTGACGGATTTTTTTTTTTTTTTATTTTTTTATTGTAATACGAATTTAGTTTGCCACTATATTCATGATTTATTTATATATATCAGGATATGTTGTTTACTTTTGTATGTTGATAATAAGTTTGCAATTCACATGTATTAATAAATTTGTTTACAAATGTTTTTTTTTTTTTTTTTCGTTGTAACTAGCACAAGTTTCTGTATTTATGTAGGTGATACTACCAATTTTTAAAGTCTTTGTCACGGATGTTATGGTTCCGAAAACTCCACTTATACTTCCAAAAAATGCTAGAACAAAGATCATTGCTGAGGTACTTGACAAATATAACATTGTGTGTACGTACAAGAATGTACATATTTTTTTAGTGGTTTTATTTTTTGGGGGGAACTACATGATTTCAATTGCAATAATAAATTCTTATCTATCTTGAAAACTCATTGCAGCTGGTCCGCCAACCTTGATTGCTTTCTTTGTGATTCTACGATCAACGAGCTTGGTCGTCTTTATTAGTCGTTCTTAGTTGGCATTAAAATAGTATTACTGTTTGGTACTAGATTGATTTGTTTATGTATTATATTTTTAATTTGGGGATCGTATATTACTTGACTATCAGGTTGGTATACGACACGGTTGTAGTTGAGTATGATTTAAAGTACTGTTGGCAATTATATTAGTACTTTTGTCATGTCTATGAACGTTGTTTGATTGACGTAATTTTGTAGGGTTCATTAAGGATTTCAAAATTTATTATAATAAAATTATGGTTTTAGTTATTTGTTGTGCAGCTGAGTGTATTAATTGTATTACTTTTTGTTGCAACAAAAACTTTATCTTAGGTAGAAATGACTTTTGTACCGATTTTTTTGTTACGGTAATTTTCATAACAAATGGTGATTTGACTTTTGTTCCATATTTTTTGTTACGAAAAAATGTCATAAAAAAAATTCTGACAAAATTTCATTTTTAGACTTCATCCAAAAAGATTTTATACTATTGGAGTTCATGTGAGACTTGTAAGGTGTTAGATTTTCTTTAAATATTCCAATGTGGGATTTGAGTTTGTACCCAACGCTTAATATCATATGATGTGAATAAAGACTACACTAAGAAAATCCTTAATCTCGGTAAATTGTTATTTATAAAGTAACTATAGTACGATTTGAAATGCATTATATGTTAAATCTTATATATAATATACATTTAATTTTTTCACTACAATTTTCAAACATTATTTTTTGTCAATACAACAAACAGCTTTGCAACCGTTAAAATCCAACCAAATTTTTTTTGTCAACATCATTTTTATTGGAATGTTTTTTATGATTTATTTTTTCAACTATTCTTGGGAAATATTGACTACAAAATTTTAATTTACAAAAAATGTAAGAATCTTAATTTGGTAGTTTTTTAAAATCATAATTTAATTTGATTCAATTATAAGTTAACAAGCATCAAGTTATATCCGAATTTTAGGAAATTGTTGGATTTTTTTTATTTATATATTAATATAATATGTTCTTAATTTAAGGAAATTGAATCATTTACCCTAAAATTGTGAAGTGGTATATGAGTTTTTTTTTTATTATTAAAACAAATTTAATTACTTTCTCCTAACTTTTTATTCAGTTTGAATAAAAAAATTATTCCTAGCTTTGCACGAGAAAAAAACAAAATCGATAATGTAATATCTTCTCACAAATCAAATATTCAAGAAAAAAAGATGATGGGCATCATATTTGTTGAAGCATTTCTGCAACTTATTTTTTTCGACGACATTTAAAAATTATTGATAAAGTAATTTAATTGATGAAAAATAATAATATGTTATTTTTGTTCATTTTTTAAAATTGTAATCCAAATTCCAATCTAATTTAATTATTTAATTAATAAAAAACTATTTATGTATGATTTTTTTTTAAAAAAAATATTGATTTTATTGCTCATAGCTATAAATTATTCTTAATTTAAAGAAATATAATCATTTATCCTAGATTTTGGAGCTTTAATCGATAATTCTAATTACAAAAGTATTTCTCAACAATTTTAATCCAAATAATTCAAAAAAAATTATTATTCCAATAAGAGCTAGAAAAACAAGAAAAAAAAATTCGATAAACTATATAGTGATTGTTGGATTGACAATATTTTGGTTTGTAATAGAAATCATATTATATATCTTCACGCATCATATTACACAACAATGAGCATCATCTTGGTTGAACAGATAATGATTGGACAAAAAACATCCTTTCTATGCCCGGACGGTGAGTACACATAATATTGTCTTTTTGTCCATCCTTTCTATGCCCGGACGGTGAGTACACATAATATTGTCAATAAGCACATAGTCGTGATTCTGCAGTACACGGATGCAAAAAAAGTTTAATGAAGGTCCTCACCAGGTGCAATACATCCATAATTGTTGCAACAGGGCGGGTTACAAAAAAAAGAAGTAAAATTGATCACTAAAAAACACATTACTCAAAAGATGTTGTTGCTTTGACATATGACTATAATGAAAAAGAGACATGAAATACGTACAATGTGTCCTGCAAAGTTGACGTTGAAATTCATTTCATACATGCATCGTCATTTTATTCAAAATTAAATTATAAATAGAAAACAAGACGTATCATAAAATGAATAATGACACGTTCATAAAATTATATTTCATTATCTTATCATTACTGAATTAGCATATTTATATGTAGCATATAGCTAACTAGTATAGCAATAGAAGTATTATATTTTCAAAAAAATAAAAGAAGTCCCAACCATCATCTTCACATAAAACAATTAGCATATCTATCGAAATTGCATAGCATATATTGCTAAATTGAACAACAACATATCTATCATATTTTCAAAAGTAAACTGTCACTACCAAATAGAATAACAACATACTATTTGGCTCTTCTTGGTCAAATATCTGCAAACCGAAGGATGAAGGGGGCTTGGGACTGTGCTCTCTTGCCGATTGAAATTTGACTCTTCTTGCTAACTTTATTTGGATCCTTAACTCCGATAAAGCTTTTCTTTGGGTGAAATGGATTCATCACAAATATTTATGCACTCAAAATATTTGGCAGGCCTCGGCTACCTCGCAGCATTCCTATTTCTTCAAAACAATCATAAAAATCAGGGATAAATTGTCGATGCTTATTGGGAGTTCTAATCAAGCCCAGGCTGCTCTTGAGTCATGGTTTCGCCATGGTAATGGTGGCACTGCTGCAGCCTATGACTGTTTCAGACCTCGGGGGAGCAGTTGGTCTTTCTTCAAGCCTATTTGGGACTTTCCTATCCTCCCGAAACATTCTTTTATTCTATGGCTTGCGGTGTCGGGGAAATTAAAGACAAAAGATCGCTTATCTTTCTTTGATATTGACCCCACATGTGTCTTATGCAGGAACTGCCCTGAAAACATTCAGCACCTTTTCTTCGAATGCTCTTTCTCATCCCAGGTGTGGAAGAGAATTTGCGAGTGGATCCGAGCCCCACCCTCTCTCTCATCGCTGGATTTGGCGGCTTCTTGGATCCGAAGCTCAAGTGATCGTGATCCTACTGTTCAGATTCTTCGGCCTAGGTTTTGCGGCTACAATTTATTATTTATGGAATGCTAGGAAAAAAAGGATCATGGAGCATTTTGCGTTTGAACCGGGGATTTCTGTCGACAAGATTAAGGCATGCTGTTTCAGAATTTTATACTCCATCGGACAGCAGACGACCAGGGATACAAGCTGATGCCTCCAGCTTTTAATTTAATCAGGCTTGCTGGGCAGTTTATTTATTTTCTTATCTCTTAGTGATGTGGTTGGACTTGAGACCCATTTTCTATCATCATTTTTCGACCATTGACCAATGCTTGTTGAGCTTCGAGTTTTTGAGAATTTTCCGGATATGCCCGGTGCTTTTGTAATTATTTTCTTATTTATTTATATATATAAAACTCTTGATCTTTCCAATCACAAAAAAAAAAAAAAAAAAAAAAAAAAAAAACATACTCATCATATACACATTCTTAGAAGATATAACTCAAAAGAATGAACTACAACATCAATACAAACATCCTTAATCATGTTAGCATTTTTTTTTTGTTCAACATAAATACCCATAACAAATATCATGCATGACAAAAATTACATGCAATTTAAGTCATATTAACTACGGGAATGTAACCCCTCATTTATAGTCATGGGATTGACAAATAGTAAAACCCTCTTACAAAGTATTTTAAAAAATAGTCATTTAGTCAAAAGAAACTTTCTGTTGTTGAACACAAGGACTTTCTTCGGCACGCAGGGAAATTGTATAGAGTTGGTTTTCCCGACTTTCAGCCTCGTCGACGCCACGGTCTCTTTCTCGAGTCATCCATGTCAACTTGAAACTCGAGCGGAAGCTTTGCCCAAATTATTTAAGAATCGATGGGGAGTGAGAACGAAATGGGAGAAAGCAAATGTCAACTTTTTGACTTTGACGGTTTGCGACGAACACCGGCAACTTGGCTCCAGCATGCGGGATCAAAAAACTTAATAGCGAAAACGAATTTGAAGTTGGATTTAAGATTCAATTTACTTATTTTATTTGATCTTTTTGTTTTGTCTTGTTTATTGTTTATATTATTTTAAATTTTTTGTAATGTGTGTATATTATTTAGATTTTACATTAATTATTAAAAATATAATATAAAACATTGTTAAAAAATATGGTAAGAAATATGATTTTAGTTATGTCCTATAAAAAAAAAAAAGAAAATTCATAAATTGAGGTTGAAAATTTTGGAATAAAACCTATTAATTTAGGAATTATTAATCTTAAATTACTTTTATAAATAATAATTACAAAATGTGACATTACAGAACTACCAATCGAAAACAGAGAGCAACGTAGAATCAAAACACAACAAACTCAACTAAAACATGCTCTTTTGATCCCATAAAAAACAACACAAGTATATATAATATGCATATATATATATATATTTAAAATACACATCTATATACATAGGCACAATCGAATAATCGGCAAATTCGTAGTTATATAAAAAAAATTATATTAATTACCTACATGCCCTTATAATTCAAAATTTAAATAAATAAGTAAATAAAAATTTATTTCACCAATCTCATTGACGCATGCGCGGGGGTTTTCGTATAAAATTTTCACTACAAACGGGTACTCTTTACACTTGAAATAGTACATTATTGGTAAAAATTTTCTATCTAAGTTGTTTATAAAAATTTTAAGGTTAGTGTATTTTAATACATTGTTGATATTTTTTACTGTATATACAAAGAATGACAATAAAAAGATCATCTTAATTCCAATAAAAGAATGAAAAAAATGTCTAATCCAAATTTATTACCTTCCGTGCCAAAAAAATCTTATTTTCAACGGAAATCAGGATATTTCCGTGAACTCTCTCGTTTCCGCTGAAAATAGGTAATTTTTTACCTAAGTTGAACTACTCTCGCGAAAACACTCGCGGAAACATGTTGTGTTTCTGCCAAAAACAGCAGGTATTGGCCAAGAAAACATCTGTTTTTGGCAGAAACATAGCATGTTTTCGTGTTTCCGCAAAAAATAGTAAATTTCAAAACCGTATATTTGTGAATTTTTTAGCTTATAACATCATATTTTTTCAGAGGTAATATCATAGTTTCTAGTGGACTCGGTGACAAATTTCTCAGTTATTCATGGTAATCTTTCTATGCACTACTAAATCAAATTGAAACACAAGTAAAGACCACAAACAATTTAGCTCTAATATTTAATCAACGAGAATAAAATATTTACAATATATACAATGCTGAAAACTAAACCACCAATGCACCCAACTTGGTCCTACTAACAGGACTTCGCCGCACTCAAAATATATTTCGCAATGATTACCCGATAATCATCAACTATTTCTTATTATTTTTCTTCAATTACTATCTTCTTTCTTCGTAGATTTCCTACAAACATAAGTCAATATGTATTCAACAAATTGAAGATTTTTAATATAAAAAATTAATTTATTCTATTTAACAAACACACAAAATTATTACCAATGCAAAAAATACAATTGAGATAAAACAAACAAACAAACAAACAAATTTTGATGACATTTTGAATATTTTTAACATAAATAATCAAACCAAATAATTACATGAATAAATAAAAACATATAGAATACAATTTTAAAAAATAATACTACAAAATCAAATTAAAATTAGAGAATAACATGAACATACTTTTGCAGGAAGTCATTGTGGGCAGGGGTGGGTGAACAGCGGGCGAGGTAGGCGAGTGGCGACGACGGCGAGGTGGCGACAACGGTGGTGGAGGTTTATGTCGAACAAACCCAGTTAGGATAAGAGAATTCAGGCAGGCTACACATTTTGAATAAGTTTGGTAATTTTGTGAATTAATATTTTGTACAAGGTTAAAAATGTAAATTTAGTGTTAAAAGAAATATAGTTATATGAGGGGGGAGTTTTAGGGAAATAAAATAAGATTGGAGAATTTTAAAGAAGTTTTTGATGATGTAGGTATTTACCTTCAATTAACCATCTAAATAAATAGGAAATTAAAAAATAAAAATAAATAAATGTAAAATGACAAGTCAAATCAAGTTTAAATGCTGTCGAAACCAAAACTAGGATTGAAATTAAAAAGTACAAACCAAAAATCTAGAAATTCAAACAGTAAAACCAAAACCTTGCTGCAGCAAACTATCCATATCATATCATATATTTATTTATTTATATTTACAGTTTACTACCTCTACAAAACTTCATTTCTACATATGTTACCAATTCTAAAATCCTAATCCAATTTGGATCCAGACTAGACTATAAAACATAATACAAATGTGGCATCACATAATGGATGGCAACAAGAACACCATAAAAAATGGGTCATATTTGTTGCATAAACACAACAAATTCAACTAAAACATGCTCTTTGATCATATCAAAACATTGATGCAAAGGACACAAATATGCCTATGTGTATTACATACATCCATATATACGTAACATGTTGCAGTGAAAGTAGGCACAGTCGAGTACTCGGCAAAACATTCATAGAATCTTCGATATTTGAGAGCAAGAGGTAAAAGATAAACAGATCATCATACCTCTTTAATCAAAGTCTCACCGATCCTTTCAGTTTTAGGCTTCATCTTGGCGTTGTTTCTTTTACTGTATGTATTCCATCGTAGAAATCTTCTCCAAATTGACAATAGCTTCCAAGGAAGATCAAACTTTGGATTGCTGCTCGTGTACCCAACACATGATGAAATAAAAGCAGACTTGAGTTTGTTCTTCAATTCTTTCCTTTCTGTAACTTCTGCATATCACAAAGCAAGCAAACTAAAGCAGATCTCCCGAGATAGAGAAGATAAATCATATCATCGATAACGCTGAAGCCAAATTGCAAACCGCCCATGTGCTGGAATTGAGGAGAACATGTTTGCTCCAAACAATGCGATAAGGCTTCGAATACGGTCTCTGGGTCATCCCCTATTATTTAATGGTGGCTCCAAACAATGCGATAAGGCTTCGGAAAATTACAGGCATTGAATGAATATCAACATATTAAATTAAATAGGAATTCTATGAGAACACAAGACACATATAGGTAACTATGACCGAGTGGCAGCATAAGTAAATACTATTTGTTTTTGCTTATGGATTCAGTGCAGAACAAAGTTACCTTGCAAACAACATTGGAAAAAAATTGATCAAAGCGTGATAAGAATTTAGTTATATTAATTAAAATTTATACTTCTATCAATTGAACAACATTATTAGATATTAGGCCACAACCTGAGAAAGATCTGGTCACTAAATGAACAAACTTGGAAAAATGTAATTGTGGAGAGGGCAACAACTTACCATTAGTGCAAAGATCTTAATTTCAGAGCTCTTATTCCCCTATATTTTCTTGAGTAACTTAGGGCAGCCTTCGTCTGCCTGTATTTGAATTCTCATGAACTATGATGCAATTATAAGATATCGAAAACATTCAATCGAAATGATATACCATTGTTGGAATCCCAATAAATAAATAATAAAAAACGGTTATCCTGGATCCATGTTTATTATATTGCAAAGCTTTATGTTTATTGCCAAGTCAGGGCCAATCAGCATATCACCGGTCTCTGAAATTCTAAAACAAACACAATTGCAAACATCAATTTAGTAACAAGAAACCCCCGATTGGGTGTCCAATAGTAAAATTTATTACTCTACTTTCGCCAAAGATGTAGTTAAGAATATTTCAATCTCTGTTCTAATGCAAGCCTAATAACATGTTCCAAATGAGTTGCCGGCATTAAAGGGAGCACTTGCTATCCTTCAAGAATCACATATTCTGCATAGATATATATATATAGAGAGAGAGAGAGAGAGAATTACGATATATTTATTTAAATAATGGTAAAAATAGTGAATATAGTAAAGATGAATGCAGTAATTAATTAATTCTTACATTTTTTATAGCGTTACGGTACACAAACTTGACTAAATTCCCACACCGCATAGCCTCATTTATGACCTGCAAATAATTTGATTTGATTGAATTATGACATTCATTCATTTATACATAAAATATACTTGCTCAATTTTTCCACATATAAATATAAATTAAGAATTTGAAATAAAATTGCTACAATTACTTCTTAGTTACATGAGAAGTGGATTCCATTTTCTTGTAGACTTCCTAAGCCATATGATCCCTTTGCTTCCTTATAGCTTCATGTTCTTCCCAAACAACATATCATACATTTATTGTTGTCCTATACTTCATGAAAATTAATTGAGATTGTTAAAATATACTATAGGTGTGTTTGTTTGGAAATTTTCACCGGATTTCTACTATTTACTAAAAGTTTTTCCCCTAAAAACATACATATTTTTTATTATTTATATTATACTAAAAATCAATTTTACATTCAAAACATCGCATTAACACTTATTTATCACATCATACCGCTATGCTAATTCAAAATTTTTGTTAATCAAATCCCAACATAAATCCAACCCCCAAACAAACACACCCTATAATAATATAATAATTATAATAAGGTAGTTTAATAGCTCACTCGTAGCTTTTCGTAGCAAGCCGGGGACTGGACAAGAATGTAGACAATCATGATTTTAAGCTTGAGACTTCCTTTTCAACATGCATCGTCCTTACTGAGGTCACGGGAGTGCTTCAATCATTCCCATGGCGAGTAGTGTTTCTGGGTAGATACTCAACATTCTTTGTGTCCAAAGGATCAGGCAAGAAATGCATGAACTCAACAAGTAGGTCATGGCGTCCACGGAAAAGAACTTCAACCTACAAACGAGCATCACAAATTCATAGCTTTTGCATAATATTCCTTCTGATAAAAAAAAACATCCAGGAAGTGTGATCATAGCATACCTCCTCATAAATCTCCGTTATGGATTTATTAGGTCTTCTGTACATATTCAAAATTTCAAGGAGTGATCTGTAAACATGATCATATACATGGCCTTGAAATCTAGCCTGCAATTAAAAATTGAAAGCTTTTCACTCAATTCTGGAGAAGTTTTAGATATGAATACAGGTATGTAGCAATGAAAGGCTTTGCTGATGTACCTTGATTTTTCTAACGAAATTGATAGCTTTGCGGAATTCTACTGGCTTCTTCTTCAGAGATTCATCCTCAGGGAGTGTGATTTCACATCCTTTCGGCAAGAAGGCATTGAATCCCATAATTAGGTCCCAATTACCTTCAAATAGCTCCTTTAATTTGGCTATGAGGCCGTCGATATGAATTCTGCAAATAACCACAAAAACTATTTGAGCCGACTGTGGATGAGGAGTTTGTAAATGAAAAGGCAAAAATTAAGAACAAACTTCGTCTTCTACCTTTGAGCCCTAAAACCTATCATGACATCAAGAAATTCACCATACTTATCCTTCTTGTCCTGAAAAGTTTCCTTCACAGTCTTGAGGTAAGTTAAGGCATTTGTTGTTGCCAGTTTCAGCTTGCTGCTTGCCGTCGAAATCTCGGCAGCCACCGGCACAGACCTTCGTTTCCCCCAAAATACAAATCCATAAGACAAAAAAACAAAGATCTTCACGGCAATCAAGAGAATCAAATTTCCTTCACCAACATCTCAAATTTATCACATCATCAAAGTCAAACCATGTAACTGTTAGAAAAAAAAAAAAAAAAAAAAAAAATCAATAGCCTTCGATTAATTAATCCCCAATGCCTTAAAACTCATAAACTAAGAAAGAAGATATGCAGAGATTATTTAACCGTAGAAACCATAATCAAGAGTGCGAATCGTCTCAATTTGATGAGTTCATAAAGAATGCTATAACTGGACAGTAGGATCATCATCGCTTACAATATGAAAATATCTAAATCGAAAAAAAGAACAAAAAATAAAAATAAAAAAATTAAAGACTTACGGTTCGACGGGGGGAGGCGGCGACACGGCGGGGAGTTTGTCTTCGGAACCGACGAACCCGTCGTTTCCAGACTCCTTCATTTCCAAGATCACGCTTCAATACAGTGCAATAGAGAGGAAGGCGGAGTTGGAGGCGGCGGAAGAGGAGGGAGGAGTGATTATAGTATCTTTGGTTCAAACGAGGGAGGGTATCAGGGCAGTGATTTTAGTGGAAGGGAGAGACGTCCAAAAGAAAATATTAAAATTGTAGCAGCACCATTGTTTAATACATAAAGAAAGAGAAATGAGCTTAGGGGAAATAATTATTTTTTTTTTTTTGCTTTTGTTAAACAGAAGAGGAAATAAAAAATATAATAATTTTACGTTTTTGTGTTGTATAAATAAAAAAAAATTAAAAATATTTAATAAAATTTTATTAATCATTAATAAAATATTAATTTTAACATAAAAATAATAGATGATATAACGTAATTTATTTTAAAATAAACATATATATAGATATATACTTATATTTATATAATTTAATTAGATTATACTCTCTTCTTTCTATGTAATATGAGTGTAAACACGAGAATTTAGGTAAAGTATAAATAGTAAGTAACGAAGAAATGTATTAGTAAAAATAATTATAAATTAAGATTAAGATAACTAAAGAGTTTAATTAAGATTAAAAAAATTAAATTTTAAATTTTAAAATATGATTAAAGTGTATAATTAATTTTTAGAAAAAAAGACAATTATATGGAACGGCCGAAAATAAAAAATAGGGACAAATTATGTGGGAGAGAGGGAGTATAATTTAAAACATTTGCAGCATATGAAATAAATATAATAGATCATTGTAGCAACATAGTGAACAATACCCAACATTGCATCTAGGGCACTTATATTGCGAAAACTGTTGCTCGCAACTCCATAAACACGAAAACCATTCATTAGGCATACTAATTGAATCAAGAACCAACTCCATAAGCATTTTAATCAAGTAGGCATCGGGTTAAACCGGAACATACACACAGAAAATCACGCGGGAGTTAGAATTTAAGTCCAACAATATGGAAGATGCCTCTGAAGTTTATATAGTGTCCTCCATCTAAAAAATAGTTCACCAGTATCTTTAGTCGTCTCTGAGATCAAATTGCCATGCAAACCTCAGCTTTCTAAAAACATAATCCTCTGTAAGATAGCAATAAGTAATAAGACATCTTCAAATCAAAAATAAAAAGAAGCAAAAACAATGGATTCATAAGAACGGCAATATGCAATAAGACATCTTCATATTGAAATTGAAATTAAGATGACACTATACATGTCAAATTCAGATATAAATCATTGTAAGTTGCCAAGATAAGAACAAGAACAAACACTTCGCTAAATGAACATAAAATGAATTAGCATAACAACAAACGGCTGGAAATTTCTCGTTAATTCAAATTGAAAAAAACATTTGAATTAATAACAATAAACAATGCACGAAAATGATTTATTTCTCTAACTCAAGCAAAGAAAAACGGAAATATTCTCATTTTTTTACTGTCAATTGCCCTGTACTAAACACATCCAAAATATGGTATTAGTGTTTGACTCAATTGGGCTCGAAGAAACTCATTCGAAGCTCAATTCAAACTCAATTATCTTATTTTTTTTTTAATTTATCAAAATAAATAAAAATCATAATTCATAAATAAAAACAAAACAAAAAATAATTCAACACAAACTTAATCTAAACAAATTAATTTCAAAATTATAATTCCAAAGGTGAATAATATTAGACAAACAAATTAATTTCATTGTTTGAATTTATATTTTATTAAAATAGATTTTTCAAAAAAAAAAAAAAACACCTACGAAAGTCTATAACAGAGACTTTGACAACCATAATGTCATTTTTTTAAAACAAAATATACAAATATTTGATGGATTCGATTCGTTCAACTCTTTGTGTTATATTTTACAGTTTAATAAAAAACAAACACATTAAATAATCATAGTTGAAAATGTGTATATTTTTAATAAAGAAATGAAATTTATATGAAAAGAATTCTCTCATAAAAAAAACTTACTGGTAAGCAGTGGCGCGCGATCGGTGTGAGGCTGCGGGGGAGAGCGGCGGCTCTCTTGTTTGTGTTAAAGAAAGTGAATAATTTAGGGCGCGCTGAGGACGGCAAGAAGCGGTGGCGTGCGGTCGGGGTGAGGTGAGGGGGAGAGCGGCAGCGTCGCGGTCGTGTCTTGTGTGTGTGGGAGAGAGAGTGAGTGATAACGGTTAAAATTTATGAACGGTAGGATTAAATAATAATTTGAAATATTATATATGATATTTTATTTATGATTATTTTAACCAGGCTCCCCAATTGACCAAATCCATCGCCTTCCACAAACCCGTGGCCGTCAAATGCAGCAAAGACGGCGGCCGAGGGAATGGCGACGGGGCAGTTTGAGGGACGCTCTGTCGTTTATGTTGGGCGAGAAAGTGGAGGAGCTTCTGAACAGCGAAGAGAACCGTGGGGTGTTGGATGAGCTGGACGGAGAGTCGAAATGGCTAAACAAGAGCTCGCCGAGATTGAAAAGCAAGAAGGCGAGGCCAAGAGCATGAGGGATTATATCTATTGTCTGGAATCAAAAGCTTCTGTGGTAATCTATCGATCTAATTCATTATCCTTGGAAATTATTTTCGATTTTGTGATTGGGGAAATTATGTGAATTGTGATTTTCATAGCTGAGGAAGTAGCCGTATGACTTAATTCTGATATCGGTCTTTTAGTAGACTGCTGGTTATGAAAGTCTTCACAACTCATTGAGCCACTTTGGTTTTAAATGAATGAATTCGGATGATCATCTTGGGTATGAAATGCTTAGGAATTAGATTCATTGTTTGGTATTAGGGATTCATTTGAAATAACTTTTAGTTTAAGAGTGTTTGAAATGTTTATTGCTTTCCCGAAAAATTCAACTATGTCAGATTTACACTTGAGCAAATTTAGAGTTTGATTTAACGCTCCGGTTTTGCTCTGGAAGTGTAATTCACCGAACGTTCAAATAATGTAGACATAGAAACAGGGAAGTTTGTGTATCCTGTTTGATCATATAAAGATCTACGTTTGGGAGTTCCAACTCAGACTCCAATCCACTAGAATTCGGTAAAAATTATACACCTCATTACATCCCAGTCACAATCTCCCAATGATCTCTATCAAGACAACAAACATACAAGTATCCCAACTTCATATGCCGTAGGTTTCTTCGCAAAGAACACTCACCAGACCTCAACTAGTGTTTCTTGAATCACCAGAGAACCTCCAAAATGGAAAGCAATTCAACTCCAATTCCAATCTTCAAGCCTCATTCACAATTTTGTTATGTCTGTGTGATATGTTCTTCAATCGGATCACGAATTCTGTTTCTGCATCTATAGTCTGTCTTGCTCGCAGAAGGCCTCTGGTTCTCTTTGTGTAGATGAGTTCTTGAAGAATTCTTTCTAATTCTATGAGCTACACAATTAGCTTCTAATCAACTTTCTCTCTGCACATGCATTTCGAATTATACAACTAAATTAACTCAGTTGTTGTATATACCATGATTCGATTATTAGATAAAATCTGTTGTGACTTTCAACAAAGTAATCGTCTGAGCAAGGACGGATGCGGGTCATCCGACCAAACTTCGGATAACATCATTGATAACTTGGTTTTGGGCATGTTAAGGATTTAGATGGATTAAAATTGGGTTGGAACTTTGCATATGGCAAAATGATCAGATATAGATTTTATGAAAATGATGTTGTTGTAGACCCTAAAATGTTGTATTATAATTAATTTTATACTCTTTATACTGGTGAGTTTTCAAGTCGAATATAGAAATTTTAAGTCATGAAATTTAAATCAAAAGGAATACTTACCGAGTCTGGCTGATCGGAAAAGCAGAAAATTGGCTCGTTGGCGAGCGAGCTGAAAACTGTAAAAGACAGAAATATAAAGAAAGCGGTAAAAATGAGTGGGCAGTGATTGTAAGCGGAGTGATGATTTGTGAGCAATGAGTGTAGTGGTAGCGTTGGTGAGCGGGGCAATATGGATGGCTGGTGAGTGTATATATATATATATATATAGGGTGGTTGGTGAGCGGCGACTGATGGTGATAATGAGAGGGCAAACGGTAATATATTAGCGGGGAAGATGTACAAAGATGTTTGTGTGTGATCTGTATGTTACTTAATGGCTAGATTCTCATGGATGGAATGAGCGGATAATGTAGTTGAATTATATACTACGAAATGATAGAAGAAATGTATGTGATCATTATTGTTCATTTAAATCAGATTCTTGACTCGCTGGTACTTGACCTTAAAGGATTTACAACAAGACTTCAATAACACCCAAATTAAGAACAAGAGCCTATGTTCAATTAATCATTCTAAAATATGTTTCATTAGTGACTTTAACCTTCTGATACTTTTTTTTAATCAAAATTGAATTCAGAACAGTAATTAAGTAGGTCGACAAGGCTCCCACATACTTAACTACCACGAACCACCTAAAATTTGTTAATGAATACGACGCCAAATTAGGCTTAGATAATCAATTATTCCGAAGAACTTCCACAGTTTGTCAAGATTCCAGAATTAAACAATCAAATATAAACTTGAATTTAGGGATGAAGATATAGATGGAGAAATCATGATATTTAATTAATAACTATGAGAAAAATAGTCGATCTACATTAGGAAACAATTTAGGAAAAAATAGTAACAAAGCTGTAAATCTACCTACAAAAAGCACTATCTGGGCGGTCAGGGGAGGAGAGAATCTCCACTCCCACTACCTTCACTAATTAAGAGAACTCCCTCACAGGATTGGAGCTCTCGGAATTTGAATATAGTAAAAGCAATAAGAACACTTGTATGTAGTATTTTTTTTAACAAATGAAATCTGGCCCTATTTATAGATTTTATGGATTGGCAGTTGGCAGTAGTTAATAGTTGTAAAACAACATTTGAAAGAGCAGTTGGAAGACTGTTGCAACCATTGGGCAGTTAGGCAGTTAATCGGTTGGAACTGCCATAACTCCCAGCTTGCTTGCTTGCCTTGGCTAGCATTGTAGGGATCTTCCTCGCTTGGCTGGCTTGGCTAGAGGGCATCAGCATAACTCAAGTGCTGCTATCGTTGCTAACCGGTATCTGAATTGCTAACCGTTGGGAGATCAACACTTAGATAAATTTTTGGGTAACTTGGATCTCGCTTGTTAGCGGCGGACTCGGCCGCAAGCGAAAAGAGCATCGCTTGCCATAATGGGCTCACCCTCCCTTGTCTTTCATAGTTGGTCATTTTCTGAGTTAGAACATCGCTTAAAAAGGCTAAAACATTAATAATCTTTACAATCGAGCTTTGAATTATATCAACCGAAATAGATCAATACTATAAATCAAATATGGTGATGGTTTTTACATAAAAATTTAGGAAATACACAGTTTTATCAAGTAGTAAATATGCTATTATTTGTAGTTATCAAACCTCCTCACATTAAACTTTTGTTCGTCCTCGAACAAACTCAATTACATGAATAGAGAGTTCACCCGTTCAAGGCAGTCAAATATTGAATAAGATCAGTGCCATAGTTGTGAGTAAAGTGAATCTCAAATATAAACAATTGACCTTAAGCAGTCAAACTTGTCAATCTAATTTAACATGCCTTAAGCTATCTAGTTATAATTAACTCTGCTTGCTTGGAGAAGATTCTTTTTATAAGGTGACTTTCAGCCGAAAGGCGTGGAATATATAAACTTTTTATTTTTTATTTTTGCATCACTTATTATATTTCGCGATGGATCCCAGATTTTCAAACATTGTGTCTGTCTGCTTGTGATCTTATTTTTTCATCGCAACCATAGGCCTTTTTAGTCCCTTTAAGAGTAAATCCTCCTCACTTCACTTGTATTGCTTCACAAACCATATTTAAGGACTTCTTACTTCAACGTCATCTCATATAAATTAAGTTGACAGACAAAAGTTCGTTTTCCGTATTGAGTATGGTATAATTGAAACGAATGGGGCACTAACCTTTTCAAGTCATATCAGCGGGTACCTTTAAATTCACATTATTAAATAAGTTAAAAGAAAAAATTACTAATTTCAGAGGTTGCAAGTGATCTAACTTTACTTTAAAAACATATTGGTAGTCTAACTCAACGATGTATTTAAAAATTTAAAGTAGCTACACATACTTGAAATTACAATATACAATATTGATAAATTCAACATGTTACCAAAAATCTGTCGTGTCATTGATCATAAAAAAATTCTGTACAAGTCCGCCATTCTTTCACAAAAATCAAAAAGTAACTGGGGAAAGGACTTCCGCTTGCAGTTCATTTCTAGTTATCTGAAAGTCCACATCCAAGCTTTCCAAAACCATCTTGGAGCCGCTGCAGCTTCTCATCATCAAGGTTGTCACGGTGCCCTTTTGCGGTGCGGCGCCTGTGGACCCCCACGGCGACATGGCGCCCGCCATGGCGAGTGCGGCGCACTATATATAAAATTAAATATACATATATATTATATATTGTAGATCTTAAAAAATCTTACATTATCAATCATTTATTAATCTTCAAAGTTCCATGTACTTTAAATCGTAACATGAAATATAATAATATAAAAAAAATATAAATCCAATCATCAAACAAAATAAAATACTATCCATAAATCTCAAAACCATCAAACTGTATCATCTCAAATCTCAATAATCAAAGATATCAAGTCCATAAATACCACTAGGAATATTATTTAAATGATTATCATTAATATCATTATCTAATGATACATCATCATCTAGTTCTTGCTCTATCAACGCTGAAGTTGAGGCTTTCTTGGGACGTCTAGAGATAATTGTATTGATGAACCCGATGTGTTGCCGATATTTCCACTTCTAGGAGTATTTCGGCTTTAAGATTGGCCGATGCACGCATGGCTTCATCAACATGACTCCATGTAAGATCCTCTCCCGAATGAACTAAATGATTGGTGTCGAAAACCCATTCACTATTCCATTCAAATTCACCCAACACCAAATGATTGAATTCTTTCTCTCCTCACGCCTTTTTTGGAATCTATTTGCAAGTTTCCGGTTGTATTGAACAAAAAGTAAATCGTTCAATCTCTTATGCTTCAATATATTTCTTTTTTTTCATGTGGATCTAAAAAAATAAATGATAATATATTAGTATATGACTTTGATAGTATTAATATTAATATATTTATATAAGTACTTAAAAATTCGATTGAGCTTCAATTGCGTTCACACCCGAAAGATGAATAACAAAGACTAATTATGCAGAATGCAAGTGATTGGAGCTCGAAATGAAAGACTCCAAAAGCATTCCACCAATCAACTAAAATGGTAAAAAAATTACAAAAATATTTAGTTCAAACTTTAAAGAAAGATGAAAAAAAAAATGAATCAATAAAATAGATTAGGTACTTTCGAGGGCGTTTTGCCTTTTGTTTCTTGATAGCCAACTATTTTCTGAAACTTTCCCGCATATTATTGTAATCATCGACTTGATCACCACTGTTGTCATGACGTCGCCATAGCATCTAGGCGTTTTTTGCGGAGCGCCATGACTCTTCGCCTCGCCATATCAA